GTGGCGCGAGGGTGGGGGGGGGGGGGGGGAGGAGGGTTGTGTGGCAGCGGTGATAAGGTAGTAGTCACGGGAAGCTCAAGAGAATTTTCCGCACCAAGCTAGACCGTAATTGAAGATGCTCTAGGTGTCAATTTCGTTCAACTGTCAAGATGGATAGTTGAGCATGCCAGGATACGGTACAGGTGTCAGCCGTCCTGCACAAGGGATCACAAGGGCTCATGTCAAGGGGGGCTCGTCATTCAGGCTTGGGATTGGGGCTCAGCAACAACACCCACATACTCAGGGTTTTGGAAGTGCTCGGCTAGACCCTTAAAGATTTAGAGTAGGCGGCGGGTCCTTGTTTGTGAGGCGGATGGACCTACTTCCCGGACAACTGGGAGCCAGTGGGCTGCAGGCGATCTGTGCCGTCCGGAGCGACGATGTGATGTCAGAACTGCGCCCCAGGCTTCCGGTAGCGGCCATTCTGGGCCTTCGCCGAGTGCAGTGCCCGGGTCATCCTGGTATTGCGGAACAGACGTGCCACCTGAGCGCTGTAGGTCTGTGTCCTCCGGGCTACAATCGATGCTGGGATTCCAAGCTCGTTTTCAGACGGTCAACACTTGTCGCAGCACTGCTTGTGTTTTGTGTGTCCGCTCTCCTTCTTTGAGGCACCTTGGTCACCTCATTCTGGTGCCATCTACGGATTACGCGACTGCGCAGATCTAGGCCAAGCTGCGCCGCCTTGCGCCAGAGCTTCTTCATCTTGCTGGGGCAACGCTGTGAGGTGGCTGCCTGGAGGTTGGCCGAGATCGAGTAGGAATGGCCAGAGGCTTAATTGAATGTGCTGGTTTCCCCATCAGAAACGGTGATGAACTAAGGATTTGGGCTTCATCAAGGAAGTCCCCAGCGCAGCAGCCTGCTGGCCGCTCAAGAACCTCTTCCTGGGAGCCCTTGTGATCTATGTCCCCTATGGCCAAGGCCGTTTGCAATGCCACGGGACACAGGACGAGAAAAGGGAGCTCATTCTTGAGACTTTCATATTGGATTCCTACTGTGGGCAGGAGTGCAAGGCCTTTAGCTATTTTCCAGATGGATACTTGGGAGATGCGAGTGCGGGCTGTGCTTCTGCCTTGGACTTCCGTCAATCCCAACGGAGTGGAGAGAAGCAGTCCTTTTCCCAGGTTCTGCCTGCTGCGGTTTTCACGTGGTGGAAAACCCGCTGCCTCCTGAAGATGCACAAGACCAAGCCAGGGGGTGGAGAACAGTGGCTCCCAATGGGTAATGTCTTCGACTGAGTCTGCTTGGGTGAGAGTAGGAGCGGTAGGATGAGGGAGGGTAGGAACATTAGAGCGCAGGCCATCAGCTGGAATCTTTGGCTAAAGCTGGACAGGTCTGCCATGCCAGCCATGCTGTTTTGACCAGATGTGGGATGCGATCACAGTGCATTGGCATTCCATCAAAGCCAGGTCGCAGTACTTCTCGTACCGAAGTTGGGAGGCTTTAGGAGCCAGGGCTTCTTTTTCAACAGTTCTGGAGTTCCGGGGTCGATGCGTACGACGCTTCGAGAGACATGCCACAAGCTCGCACATCGGTGAAAGTGCGAGGTGGCAGTGTTGGATTTCAAGAGGGGTTTGTGCAGGTTCAAGGTTCAGGGATTCTTGGACTCGGCAGTATACTCGTTAGGGATAGCACGCGAGAGAAGAGCATCCATCCGATGTTCGTCTCAGCGCCGTGATTAAGCCGTCGTCCAGGGCTGTGCAATGTGCAAGAGGCTCGAGGAGGAGGACTGACAGCCACATGCAGGCTCCTTGGACATGATGCCGCGCAAGTAAGCTGAACCCAACACGAGCTCCTCACCGACGCCCACAAATGCTGCCTTGCGGAGCTGGCTTGCTTTGCAAACGAGGTCGCCTCAGGTCAGCGTGGCTGCAAGCCTGCGAGGCCACCTTGGTCGATTTTGTTGCAGAGCTCGGGTGTCCAACGGTCTCAAGGCACAAGGATATGAAGACATACCACACGAAAGTTCCGAATTGGCCTAAAAAAGGACTCGTTTTTGGGGACCGCCGATGTGAGTACACTAGCTGCCGACGGCTGGTAGTTGTTTTTTTTTTTTTTCCGGCCCCATATTTTTTCC